CCCTTCCCCCCTCCCCCACCCCGCCCCCTTCTCTTCCCCAGTCCTTGTTCCTTGCTATGGAATTTTAGAAACTACTGGAAATTGCCAATGTCTCCGAAGTTGACAATTTCCCCAAAAGTTCCATATCGCAACTTGAATCCGGTCATGTCCACGGGAAAGACTGTTTCTGCTGGATACGCTTTCTTGCACGACCTCTTCTTGAACTTAAAGAAAAAAAAAACTCGAAATAAAAAGGATTCTTCATCATGGAGCCGAATTTTAAATACATAACCTAGGAAAATGAGTTGACACTTATTACATTCTAAGCCCAGCTCAAATCACTTATGTATGTAGCAGTATCTAGTAATATCTATAAAACTCTATAGTAACTCTTTTGTCACATACGAGTGAATAGTTCCTAGTTTCGAGCTCAATCTGATTGTCATTCATGGAGCTTGTTACCGGCAGAATCCCGAATGGCCCAGATAGCAATGAGATGATGGACATGCAGAACAGTTCCTGAAAAACGAGTGACCAGGAGCTGGTCGGAAGATCTTCGATTTTTTTACTTACCTGTTTTTTGTTGACAGGTTGCTGCTCTCTGCGACAGACCGCTTTCATGTGAAAGACTACGATGAACAAAAAGATAGCAAAAGCATCGACGATAACGAAAGCGTTCGGAACAGAAGGCTGCACCACGGAAGGGATTCTGAGTGTTAGCCTTTTACTGATGTGAGCAACGATTTTTCAAGATTTCCATGTCAGTCCTATACCATGTATTAGTTAAGAGATGGGTGAGCCTAATACAAAAGGCACGGCTACTAAGCAGGGCCCGTTGATCGAAAATTTGGATTTGTTTCTCCCGAGAGCGATCTCCAGGTTGGTTGCGACCAGACTCGCCCTTTAGGATTCAGGCAATATCTTGCTCAGGAGCTCGATAGGAGCAATTGAAGCGCCCAGATTCACTCAAGACTATAGTTCCAAACCGGAGCTAAACGCGGAGCGCATTTCGTTGCGAGGCTATATTGCAGCTACTCTAATTTATTAGTACTGGTAACGCCTATATTCGGAAATTATCTAAAATTGAAATCAGGTGAAAAAATCAAATGAAACTCACATCGATTCGGCCTTGACCGGCAGCAAAGCGGAATCGGAGAGCCCAATGAAGTAGGAAGCTAGGGTGGCGATTAATAGCTGGAAGGATCACCTGTTATTAGTGATATGCACAACTCGTTTTACATTTTACATTTGTCCTAATGGATGATGATTCGTTTCACCCTAAACCTGACGAGGCGCCCTTCCAATGTAAGAAACCTGTACGACGCATCACGCAAAGCTTTGCTTTGGTAAGCTTCCTGAAAAGTTTGTGGTGCTGCCGATAGAAGGGTAGGGGGAAAATTGAAGCCAATGAAGGCAACGGCTTGAATCGCCATTAGGAGTTAGAACTTCAGCAGTTCCGACGATTTGCATGATTTCATGGTTCAACAAAATAGAAGGAACATCAGTTGGGTGATGATAAAACAAAATGGAAAAGTAGAATGTGCATATTTCAGGAGCTGAACTTCATAAAAACAGCTTTAATACATTGACGTAGTCGCCAAAAATTTCTACATAGAGATCGGACAATACAGAGCAGAAATTAGTAACTCACAATGATCATCTCATGAGGAATGGTCGTTCCTATTGACTCCGAAAGTTTGGTATTCAGTTTGCATTTGAAGACGATTAGAATCACCAGGGAGACTGTGAATATCAGCAGAGGCCCGTAGTCCATGGAAAACACACAAGCCGATATCGAGTCAACGCACTGAAAATCGTCTCCGATACCTCTGTTTTTGTGTTTATCATATGATCGTAGAAGTAGATAAAGAGTACTACGAGGCAGTGGGAAAGGGATCCCTGTTAACTGATCTGAATTTATAAATTAGATCAGCTAATTTCCAACAAAATTGTTGAATCAGTGATCGATTGCGGTTTAATGTGAGATCAAGTGGATGTGGTGCAGTAGGAACGAAACTGCCGCGTCGCGCGAGAGAGACGCCGCGCGCGAAAGATCGTGAAGAGTACAGCAGCAAGTAAGAAATAGAGGAACAAAAGAACTAACAGTAAAATCATGCCAAAGGTAATTATCGCAAAGCGATTGAGCTGTATAAAGAACCCTAGAACTGTTATAACGAGGCAAAAGATCCGCGACAGTCGCGTGCGGCGGATCGATTGGACAAGACCGTTCCTACTGCTCGTTTCCTGCACCAAACTTATCTCCCAAATTGTGCAACTCATAACCTCAAGAGGTGACTAAGAGGTTTCAGATCAACGGTATTCATGAATCCTGGGTGTGGTGCAGTAGGAACGAAACTGCCGCGTCGCGCGAGAGAGACGCCGCGCGCGAAGTATTGTATCGTAGACCGTAAACCGCATATTTTCTAGGCAATAAACAACATCTGAAATCTCGGCCGACAAAGAGCCTAAGCGTTGTTATTGAAGCACTAAAAGAAACGGAATCAAAAATCAGAGAAATGGTGGTAAACAAAAGCAACCAATGGAATTGGAGGGCGGTCATGGGTACCGCAAATTTAGCTCTATGTTCCAAGGTATAAAGGCGATTTACTTTGAGCAGTAAGATCTTTATAGATCAGAAAAAAACTTACAAAACCATTCAAAATGTTGTTGCATTGCTCTGTTCGTAAGTTCAAAATAGTCGGCCAGAGGTGAAGAAAAATCCGTATCGTGACACCGAGATTGAATCCCAGCAGAAGATTGGTGGGAACGAACGAAAGCACGAAATCAAGAGGAAACGCAAAGTGAATCATCTGAAACGAACTACTCTCATGAATACTGTAGTTATACTGGTTGTTAGCAGTTTTCAAATAAAAGGAAACTGATTAACCCTCGGACTTCATCGTCTATGTCCGGTAGAGTCACCTGTTATGAACTTGAAATCATTCCAACAACCACCCAGAAAAATTTCTGCCTCGCTTTGAGTTAATGATGGAGGAAAACTTGTCAATGTGGAGACCATTTATTAGATTTTGGAGTTCGTCTAGGTCTTTTCAAAAGATTTCTATTCCGAGAGGAACCCCAGCTACTGGGCCCATCTTACCTGGAACAGTCCACAGCCCAGTGTGAGCGTGGCTACAGAAGAGCCGCTGTGATGCATTGATGAATATACAAGAAATGATGCTATGGAAAATGCACCTGAAACAAAACAAACGTCAGAGGCCGGTCCTGAAGAGGCTACTTGTTGGATTTCGCGTGGGGTTACCGGTTGCCAGGAACTAACTCTGGAGTCTCCGGGGAAAAAAGGATAATAGCAAAGTGTAAAGCTGAACGGTTCCAGAAATTCGCTTAAAGGCACAGGTCAGGAAAAGGTGGTTCCGGAGATTTGCATATAGTTTGAATTCGAAGCCCCCTCTGATACCATTTGTGCAGGAATGAGGTCGAAAATCGTTAGAATAGGGCACAATTAGGGCAGGAACATTGGGGGACGTCAGGGCTCCGCCCCTCGCTAGGCTGACTACGCGTTCGAATTTTCCTTCACCACTTTCGCATTGGAGCGAAGTTGGTGGAAAATCGATACGCTGA